CTTTGTAGACAATGATTGTGATAACATGGGTACACTACAATTATTCAAATTAGTATAATTAGTGTAATCACATTATATGTAATTGCAAAAAATGTTTGTAGATAGTTTCCTAGCAGTATTAAAGGATACTGATTGTCTCTGGATGTGAATCTATGATAATCGTCAACATTCAATAAGAATGTATTTTTTAAATATTTTGTAAGTGCATTTCTCATGTTCATCTGCAACTTGCTTCTTTTTACAATCTACTGCTCTTGATGTTGTTGTTACTCCAAGACTTGTATCTACCAAGTCTAAATAGAATGCAAGGTCGAACTTAAAAGAGTTAATTTTTGTATTATTTAAAACAAGAAGATAACACATGAACACTAAAATGGCCAAGCTGCTAAATAGAGTTGGTCAAAAAACTCCTTCAAGCTTGGTTCTATTTCTTATAGCAATCAATCTTTTCACTAACCTCTTCTGCATCTGTGGTTTTTATCTCCTAGGTTCTCTTTTTAAAAGATTTTCTACAAAATTCATAACAAATGTTACATAAAACAAAACGTTCTTTCACTAAGTTGTTGTTCTCAGCTTCTTTCCATTTATTGCCTTTTGTTGATGAAATTTAGCTGATTCAGTGGTTTTATATTCTGTGCAATGTTTAATTTCAGACAATTTTTTCTTCAAGTAAATCGTATTATGAAAGTTGTGGGATTCAAAGGATTCAAAAGATATGATAACAATAAAGTGTAAAGTTTCAAATTTGTGTAATTATTTACACATGATTTATTGCAAGAATGGGCTATGTGATACCCTTGTAAAAGTATTTTAAACTGTATAAAAAAAATTGGAATCAATTGTGAAAATCCATTCCTTATATAGGACAGTCTCTCCTGTTGGCTATGCAACGAAATTATTTTTAGAATTTCAATGTGTATGACATGGAAGGTCATGGAAATTCTGCACGCGTGATCTGATTGATAAACTATAAAAATGTAAATCTATGACCATTTCCTACTAAAAAAAATATTTCTCTTTTAATCTGTACAAACCGCATTATTATTTTTATTCAAGTAACAAACAAACATGTCTTATACCCCCATTCCATCAATCAAAGTAGTTAAGAAATGGAAGCAAGCTAATGTTGTTGATTTTTTGAAAGAGAAAAAAGAAGAGTTAGAACTTGAAAATGAGGATATCCAGATAATTGATAAAAATAGGGTTAACGGTCGTGCCTTCCTTGAGTTAAGTCAAGAAGATGGAAAATGCCAGGTGGACCGGCAAAAACTATAACAATATTGATTGAGAATATTAAAGGCGAAACGCGAGGTAAGTACCACGACTGCATTCGAATATACCAGACCTACACTGCCTCTCTCGCTGTCATTTCATTTTTTAACTTTTACCTCGCTAATAATAGAGCATGAGAAAAAAAGGAAGACAAAGGAAGAACGTAAGATTATTTAGAGTTGGCTTTGCTCTACATCATTCGTAATGCCTTGCTATTTTACTCACTAATTTTTTGTTTGATCAGTTACGATCACTAAGCCGAATAAAAGGAGATGGGAAGTAAATGGTGCCATTGAACCAAGTATAGTTCACTCTGTATACTTCGTAAATCCAACTGAAGAGAGTCGTCCACTTCTTGAGAAGATTCATGAAGGTCAATTTGTGGCTCTACATGGAGCTAGAGCATCTGGCAAGTCTACGCGGGTACACCAAATTCAGAAGCAGTTGAACAACGAAGGCTATATTTGCATTTAGTAAGTTCCGATTCTCGTTTAACCAACTGGTCCCGTTGCATCAAATCTAACTATTGTCTCTATTTTCTTCACTTATACTGTCTCTTTTTCTATCTGGATCAGTGTATCTCTTGAACAGATTAACATTAAAAGCGTAGACAATTTCTGGGAGACATTTGGCACTCAAATTCATCTTGATGCTTCCAAATACATTAAATTCAATAGCATCAAGTCTGCTAATGATTTCAATATAGTGTTTCAGAAGAGCAAATGTGAGAATCGTGTTGTTATATTCATTGATGAGTTTGATATGTTGTATAATGCAACGGAAGATGTTCTCTCTTCGTGTCTAAATACCATCCGTGGCATTAAAGGAACAAAGAAAAATTGTGCTATCTGGTCTGTTGTTGCCATCGGACCCTTCAGTATCCTGTATTTGAACTCGAATAATTTGACCACGTCACCATTCAACGTTAATGAATCGTTTCAAAACCCAAATTTCACTCTGGAACAAGTGCAGTTCCTATACAAGCAGTTTGCGGACGAATTTAAACTGACTATTGACCATGAGGTTATTGATGACATGTATGCGCAGACAAACGGGTAAGTGACTATAGTCATGTAAAAGCATCTTTACTGAGATTCTTGATTAACTTACTCTGTTCTATTTTAACAACATGCTGGCCTTGTCTGTCTTTGTGGGCGTGCAATCTTTAGAAAGCTATTCCCAGTACTAGAAAATGGAACGCAACTTAGCTTCGAGATATGGGAATGTTTTACTGCTTTCTTACTCGGAAATGAGATTTTAGAATATTCTACGTTTATAAGGATGAAGGAGTCCCTTCTGAAAGATGATACCAATACTAGGCGTGCTGTGAATCTCATCCGATCCGATTTCTTGGTAAATAATGATCCTATATACGTTGCTGAGAACAAAAAGGATCTAGCATTGTTCCTCACAGCCGAAGGAGTTCTGATTCCTGGAGAAGATGCTGGGACATTTAAGATTTCTTCGCCTTTGGTGCACTGGCTGGTCCTTCAGCAAATAATTCCCAACTTCACCTAAAGTAGAAGTTCCCTATTATCCTTCCACAGGTACCTTAGACATCCTTAAGGCCTTGAAGCAAGTTATCTGTGTATTTGATCAAGAACAATAAAGTCCTGCAACTCTTTTAAGTTAGCACGTGTGCTGGTTAATAATGCAAATAATCAAGAAGTCAGAGAATCAGTGTATGATGCAGAACTTTACCAGATCATGTCAAATTGGCTTGGTAGATTTAGAGTAACGGGACAATGGCATCTAAAATATTGTGCTAGTGGGCATATTAATAATAAATATGTTGACATAGTCATCTCACGATCTGATCACCCAAAAATTGTGTTCGAATTTTTAGCTACGGCAACAAAAAAAGAGCTTAAGGAACATTATGAACGGGCACTCATATATGACAAGAAACTACCTGCAGATGAAACATGGATTGTTCATTTCACCTATGAAGAAAACGCCATTTCGGAGCCATGCTAGCCAACTAAGTCTCAACTGCAAAAAGGTCTTCGAGTCATATATTTTTGGCATGATTTTAGCTTTACGAAGATTAGAATGATTTCATGTTGTTGGGATGCGAATAATAATACGAGGCATGTCTCTGATGTTGAGGAATTTATGGTGCGTTATATTATGAATATTTCTTTGATTGCTTGCTTTACATCTCATGTTTCTAACGACCTCTGTTCGATTGCAGGTTTCGTAATAGTTAGAATAGTATCAGAAGAGCAAATTAGCTGTATTTGTTTTTCATCTCTAAGTTAGATAGCAAAACCAAATCAATCTGTTATTATACCAAGAAATGTAGTTCGCATTTGCAATTATATAAAGCAGTTAATAAACTGACCCAGGTGTTTTGATGATTCTTGCATATATAATCGCTTTTTCTTGCTAATGTGATTGGTGCGAACAATTGTTCACGCGCACATGAATTTTATCTTTTGTGGAAAGTGAACTCCATACACTAATTCGAAATTTGAATAAATCTATCATTTTGCTACAATACGTATATTATATATATATATATATATATATATATGTAAAATATTGAAAGTATTGAATTGATTTAATAATAATAATTTTCAACAAATAATAAAAATAATAATTCTTTTTCTATTTTACTTACATGTTCAATCACTCGTTTATACAAATCTTGTCAATGTTTTTCTCCATATTCATCAATCACTTTGTAAAAAGATTAATGTTTGTCTCAATGCTTTACCATATATTTCTTGAATCATAGACCACGGAATCAATTCGTGTGTTATAAAATGTTTAGTAAGTTCACTTTTTTTTTATTAAAAAAATTATAATTAAGAATAAAATAATTTTATAAATTGATAAATAAATTACCAATTTGACAAGGTTAGGATCTTTGTATATACGATTTAATAAATTGGTTTGTTCATTATCATAAGGTGAAAGGATAATAAATAAATTATGTTTTCTAAAACCTATTATTGAAAAAAAACTCTTTAAATAAATATATATTATTATACGAAACTTTATAAACTCACACCTTTCCATTTAGATTCATCTTCCTTGATTGATAGTGTATCATATACATGTCTATAATATTTACAAACATTCAAGCGTTGATCTTCATGCAATGCATTAACTCATAATACCGAAGTTTCAAATCCTACAATATTTATTAATTATATAATATTCAAATAATAAAATAATAAAAAACAATTTATATATATACACCAAGCACATATATATACATTCTTGTTGTTTAACATCGTAAAAATTTTGTGTTGATTTTCTTACTAATAATTTGCATTCCTGTATAGTCTTTTTTTGCCAAAGTTAGTCGCATTTGTTTTAAAATAAAATCTGTCTTTTCTTTTTTCTCCATTGATCCAAATGTCTCTTTACTTTATATGTATCAATACATATATATATCAGTTACAAATATATAAACCATAAACACTCAAACAAATTTTATAATTAAAAGCCTGTAATTCTTGTAAAATATCAGTCAGCAGCCTCATTAATTTTGCCTTCTTCCTCTCTGATCTCAGATAACAAACGTGTCAACCTTTCACATTCAACTCCTACATAAATCTATAGATATATATATATATATAAATAAATAGCAGGAAATTAATTTTTATTTCGACAGTATCAATTTAATATCCACATACTTTTCCTTCAGTAAAGTATCAATTAATTCTAGTTTTGTTGTTTTATCTGGTGTATTATCAAAATAAGTCATAACTTCTTGAACCATTTTTATGATTGCCTAAATAAATCAGATGAATTGAATTGAAGTGAATTCTCTTCTGGTTCTTTCTTTCTTTCTTTCTTCTTTTGTTGATATACATCTAATTTAATTAAAAGAATAATTGCGCCTGTTTCAATTGTCCATTTTTCTTTGAAAGTAACATTACATATTCATTTAATAATTTCCAGTCTCATGTGCCTGATAACATAATTTAACAATGTGAACTAATACACAAGTAGGATAAGCCAAATCAACTGCCTAAATTTCAAAATAATTAATTTTTAATAACTCCAAAAATAATGAAAAATAAATATCTGACGTGTTTGCTTTTCAAGCCCCATTAACTGTTCTATTTATTTATTTATTTCAGAAATATATTAATTCAAATATTGTATATATAGTATATACGCACACCTTGGTCAATGTCTCAGTTACTGGTAATTATCTATCTAATTTTCCTTCAGACATGTTTTTTCAATTCTTTCAAACAACTAGATTTACAAAATGACTGACAGCAAAATTTCAAACTCGATATAAATAATTAAAATCTATTTTTTTTATTAATAACAATATACAATGAATGATATTTCTACACATTAAATTATTAAATTAATTTGATTTATTATTGTACAATACAATCTTTAGATTGTTTTTTTAGTTCAATAATTTCTTCAAACTCTTTATTAGTTATTCCCTTACCCAATCTTTTTTTTTTTGCATCTTCGTTACCTTTCTCGGCAGCCTAGATATGGATGATTTAAAATACACTACCTACCCAAAAGTTTCGGTCACCCTAAATTGATGAATTGCGCAAAAGCGTACATAATAATTGCACAAAAAATTTATATTTTTAGTACCTTTGTAAACCATTCATTTGCTATTTGAACATTTGCAGGCACATGGATTCCCGCATCATAAAAATATCCCATCATAAATTCAGCTTCTGCAATTCCTTTTAATGCAGCCTTTTCAGTGTGTTCATAAGCTAAAGCTTCATCTGGATCAAAACAACCTTTAGCTCCACAAAGATACCATCTACTCAATCCCAAGTCTGCCTTTTCTTCGCCCACTTCTGAAGCTCGTTTATAATATGAAATAGAAAGTAAAGGATCAAATGAACAAGTAAGTCACTTATACTCGTAAAAATGCCCCATTTTGTATAAAGCTGGCCCGTAACCTAAGTTTGCAGCTTTTTTTATGAAGTCCTTGGCTGCATAATCAACTGGCTAAACAACATCAGCCGGAATATTCGCCTTTGTATACTGTTTGGCTAACAAAATTCCATAAACATATGCTACTTCTGGACATTCTTCGTCTGCTTTTACCGCTGCTTGTTTCAAATATATTAAGGCTTGTTTATGATTACTTTCTTGTTTCAAATCACCCAGCATATCAATTTGAGCAAGTCTCTAATTGAACAATAAATCAATTAAAAATTCATTAGATAAAAAAGTGATCAATTTTACGTGACTTACGTATAATGATAGAACATTTCCTTGTGCTGCGCTTTTTTGTAAAATTGCTCATTTGACATCTCGATTTCTTTCACAATATTGAGCAACTTTGTATGTTGCCTTTGAAAAATCACACTTTGTTGATGATAAATATAACTTGTAGGTTTTAACTGGCTTAACTTTCTTACCATACTTTCCATGTTCGTACCAAGTGCCTTTAATATACAAAGCTTCGGGGTGATTGTTTTAACAAGTAAATTAACCCAATGTTTACTTTCTTCGCGAATTTATTGGTTGTAGGGCCTTCTCCAACAGATTCCGTGCCATCGGTTTCATTGGACTTTTTACTAATTAAAAGAAATAATTTTTATGTTTTCAGATTTTTACATATACATGAACAAAACCAATTTAAACTTCTACGCATGCAAGTAAACCAATGGTGAATTTAGTGATCCAGGTCAAGGTGATTTGGGGTATAAATGCGAAATATCGCTAACTTCCTTGTGGCTTTCTTTTTTTCTGGTGTATCTTGCAGCAAAGTTGTGCAGACATTATTTCTTCTAGCTGTATGAACAATTTTTTTGATTTTTTTGGCCATGAATGAATAGAACATCTGCCGGCTCATGTATTTTTTGAGCTCGTCAGTTTGGCTTGATGTTCATTTTTAAGAATTGCGTTAAGCCATGTGAACTGATATTCATTAAGGGATTGTCAATTTTTCTGCGGATCTCTACATCAGACAAACCTATTATGCCATTGAATCAGGGTTGGCAAATTGACTGGTCCATTGCCATTAATAAAGCAATGATGGACACAATGGATCACCAATAGGCCACCAATGGACTACACATTTGCCAACCCTGCATTGAGATATATTGACAACATATGATCTTCTGATTTTTTTTCTTTACCTTGACGTTTAGCTAAAGCTTGAAGTATTTTATTTCGAATTTCCAGGAGACAGGTATGAAAGAAAGTAATTTTTTTAATCCTTTCCCTCAAGCAAGGATAATTGTTATACATAAAAGATAACAAATAACAAAATACCTCTGTAAGATTATTAATTTCTTCACTTTGTTCAACATCAATTGGTCTCTCCCGAATCATTAGATTCATAATATTCAGTATTGTTCCTGCTAATGGTCAGGATGGGAATAATATTTGTATCATGTATTCTTACCCAGATAACTTGCACCGTTTTTTTTTGTATTTGCTATGTCCTCAGGCTTCTGCTTCAGTGAACTCAAATCCCCTTCATTTTTTCTGTGTGTGCTGTTTCTATGAGCTTTAATGCATCCATTTCTATATTTTTGCAGATCGAATCATAGAGTTTACAGTAAAAATGTTAGGATATGTAATATATTCCACTTCTCATTTTCCATATAAATTTTCTTTTTCTTTTTCAATATTATTCCATAAAGCATCTGCAGATGATGGATTGGTTCTAAAAAATAAGGAAAATAAACAATGATCTGGTCATAAATCCGAGTTCATAGGTTCTTTTACTATTTTGATTTGTGATAAGTTCATTTTTTTGGATTTCAAGTAAAATCTCAATATGTCTTTTTTCAAAATACTTTCTATATTGATAATAATGGATGTTTGGAAAATTTTTTATAATTGCCCAAACTATTTGCTAAACCAAGATTGTTGAGTTTAAAATTGATAAAGGATATTATTTAATGATGATGGCTGAAACTGTTTTTGAAAAAAAGATAGTTTTTCCCAATACCATGATGGCTCAATATTTTTATATTAACAAACATATAATAAGTATCTGAATCAACTTTACTTTATTTTAAAAAAACTTAAAATAATCTCTCCCGATTCCAGCTATTATTAAAATTAGTTTCACCCAAGTTTAGGCCAATTAATTTGTTAATTGACAACAATAATGATGAATAAAAAAGTAATATAATTTACAGTTGCACAATTCATTAATAAATTCATTAAACCTAAATAATAAATACAACTAATGAACGATAATGACTGCTATATATAGATTTGAATCAGTTCAAATCAAATCAAATTAAAATCAGTTTGGATCAAATTATACATTCAAATCAGTTTGAATTGGATTAAATCAAATTCAAATGAAATAAATCAAATTCAAATGAAATAAATCAAATTCAAATGAAATAAATCAAAAATTAGGCGATCCAATGTTTCCTAACCAATAAGCATTTAGTGTAACAAAGGGGTTGGTGATCACTTTCACAAATCCTTATTGGTTGGAAGACAGAATGCTATGATTTTTGGGGAACTCTTTGACAAATTCACTTTGTACATTTAGGACTTGGGCAACATGTATAAACGTAGATGATGAATGAATCCAAATCAAATAATTTGAATAAAAGAAAAAAAAATTCAAATACTTGTGCAAATCAAAACACCTTCCTTCCATGCACATCATCATCATCAACACATACTTCTAATACTCATATTTAGCAAAGGAATTTCAAATGACAATATGAACATGAAAATGAAGATAATTTTTATTATTTTACCTTTTTTTTAAAGTGTATTAAGGAAAAAATTTTTTTTTCTATACCATTCTGTTTAAAGACAATATGTTTTTGAAATGTAACTGGTAAGTTAGAAACAGTTTCAATATATATTATAATTCTTGTTAATACTCATTAGAATTGCTTTACTTATCGCCAATTTATTATATAAAAAATCTTGCCATTCTGCAAAACCGGCGGTCATTAAAAGATAATGATCGACGGTGCTCTGGAAATAAAATTGACACAATCATTCCATGGTGAATTTGGAATTGGAATTCTCAACCTTGGAAGTATCAGGATCTCCATCATGTCTTTGATATAACTATAGATACACTTAACTTTGCTGAATTAAACTTAATCGCCACTGAAGGCGACGATATCAATAACACATGTCCCAGAAAGAGATAAGAGACTCCATTGAAGACATATGCGAGATTATAAGACTTTGGAAGGAGGAGAAAGTTTACGATCATATAACCATGGCATATCGAAAGCAAACAATTTTCAGCATTTAAGTTCGAATTTGACCGAAAAAAAAATGCGTGCGCACTTCTCGCTTCTAAAACAGGAGTAGTATCATAGGCGAAATGATTGGGTTTTTAAGTATAAGAACCATCGCAATAGATTGGTTCATGATAAAACATGGAGACAATCAAAGAACAAATATAAAAATGATTTGGCCATAGAGTGTTTGAACTGCAAATTTCAAATAAAAAACACTAACCTAGTTTATATATACTTATTCAGAATAAATTGTTATTACTATAACTAGACTTATTTCGAATAAATAAAATTTTTATTTGCGTTACTATTACTATAAGGTGCGAAGTGTGTTTTTGATGTCTAATGTAATTTGCATGTTAACGTTAACGTTAACATTTTTGAAGTTGTCAAAAATTTTAATCTAAAAATAGCTATAGAAATTAAAACGTATAAAAATGAATGCAAAAATCTATACTTGTGTAATAGAAGAATAGAATGAGTGTGTTGAAATGATAACGAAGCGTAGCACTGGTTCCAATTAATTTCTTTTTTACGCTAAATAGGAATCGGTCAGGTCATATATGAATGCTACTTGTACATTTGTAGATTCCAATAAAGCAGGGTGCGGTTCATTGGATCCATTAGTGTAACGATTTAACCATATTTAGTATTTTATTAATATTAATGGCAATGGACCCATATGGGCCAATTTGTTCGATCGCCAAAAGAAAAAAGTATTAATGACACGTGGGAGTTACATTTTGATGATCATTATTTATTTTTAGATATATATAAATAATTAACTGTATTACTATTATAAACGTAATTTTTGAAACGGGATTCTTTTTTATTGGTTTCTTTTTAAGTGGGATTCTTATTACTACTATATTTAAAGGTCGTAGGAGAATATCTTTACTTAGGAACACAAGAGTGATTATTATGTGCGTTATAGATTCGTGTATGATGACTTGTGATTTTAATATATAAAAATAATCAATTTTTAAATGTCACAGGATGTCGATCAAAAAAATTGGCCCGTATGAGTCCAAAATCCATCTGTTCTCAATGGACCAGTCAATTTGCCAACCTTGTAATAAAGTAATAATTATCAATTAAACCTTTAAATTCAATATCAATCAACATTAACCGTTAATGTTAATTAGATGATTCTCTTCAAATTGATTTATTACCATAGAAAATAGAAAATCTTAGTTTATTTATATATATGGTGGTATTTATTATTTTTAAACAATTGAAATCTTTATCTTTTTTTTTCTTCAATGTAGTTAATTGTATTGTTAAATTTATATATCATCAATTACATTTATATAATTTATAAGATAAACAAATAAACCACTGTTAATATTTATCAAAATCAAAATGATCACATGATAATTGTGATTGATCAATTTTAAAAATCGATTTTTTTTTTTTTTGAAATAATAAAATAAAAATTATGCCAAGAACTAGGCCAATAGTAACTATAGCGAAAAATGGTGTTGGGGCATTCATACTTCCATGTCGTATGATTGTATTTAATTATTGTGAACGTGGTGGAAGTAGTCGAGGAATAGTGTTAGTAGTAGTCGGTCATCAAACAAACAATATTATTTATTGATTGATAAATACGTTTTTTGTTTTAATTAGTGAATATTTAAAGAATCGAGTGATAGATTTTGCAAAAGAAAATCCACAAATCGAAATAAAAATATCACCAAGACCATCTAAACATCCTGTTATTCGTGGAGTTTATTGTTAGTATCATCTCTATCGATATCTTTAACTATCTAACATTAATTGATTGATTGAAACTTTTCTTTCAAAATTGGCATAGTGAATAATAAAGAAAAAGATATTTGCGTAAAAAATATGAAAATAAATGAGATAGAGGAAAAAGTTCAATTATTAAAAGATAGTTCAGGTGTTACAGCAAAAAGACGATTTAAGAAACCGGTGATTTCAACTACACCAAGTGTAAGGGGTATTTGGAATCCATTCAAAACAAGATTATATGTAATTTAAAATAAAAAATCACAGAACTAATCATGAATCAAATAAAAAATAAAAAAATTTATCATCTATTTTAAAAAAATCCAGCAAAAATAATATATTATAAAACTTTTAATTGACTTGTTAATACTTTGACCAATTTAATCCTTGTTTGATTGTCTTTAGTTTCTATATTAAATTTATTCTCTTTGAATGTGATTATTGCTTTTGGTGAATCTATTATTATTTCAAATGAATTATTTCGTCTATCTTCTTGTATTGAGGATATTTGACATCCCAACTATTATTAATTTTTCATTAATTAAAAAGTCATTTAATCAAATTTTTTTAAACAAAATAAAAAACTAAAACTTACAATTTCTTCATTAATTTGATAAATTAAATCTGAAACTTTAACTTTTCCACAAATATATTTTTGTTGATTTAAATTATTTTGTGTGTTAATTATTGAAGACTGATTATTAAAAACTTTAAAAGTTCCATTAATAGATGCAAAACTGAAGTCACCATATTTTATTTGTTTAATCTCTTTTGCAAGCTATTATTTATTAAAATAAAAAAGTTAGTTTAATAAATAAAAACCAAAACCATTTTTATAAAAACATAAATATTACACTTTCTGAAATAGTAGCTCTTAAAAATTGAGAATTTATTGTAATATCAACAACATCCAAATAATCATATAAAGTAATCATTGATGAAGGTAATTGTTTTTGAATATGGATCAATTTATCATTATCAGTTATTATTTGTTTCGGTAGTAAAATATGTTGAGGTTCTAATTTTGAACTTTTTAACAACATCTCGGTTACATCATCTACAGTTAGTCGTATATCAATTGGAATAAAAGTTGATTCTATTTGTAAATTTTCAAATGATGATAATGCTTCAACATAATCAAATTCAGATTCTAGTAATGATAATAATAAAAACCTAATTAAAAATTAATAATTAATCAATAATTATTTCAAAAAAAAATAAATTAAAAGAATACAAGCCTGTGAATATGATTAGATTTTTAGATGAACTGCCCCATTTTCTAACAAAACTAATTGCGGCACCACTACGTAAAGAGGGATGACCAGCAAAAACAACGCAAGGTTCTTGATATTTTTTCTGAAGTGAACTATCAAAACGAGCAGCATAATTTAATAGGCCCTGATCAATCATATTTTTTAGAAACATTGGATTATCAGGCAAATACATCTTGTTTTGACGTTCTGTGCACATCCATTCACCAGATATATTTGAGTACTTTAATGATTCTTCAGCTACTGGTGAAACAGCATAGATGGGAACACTATGGAATCCTTTTGCCCTCAAATATTTTCCTAGATGTTCAATTATATCAAATATAACACCATTCAGTGTACATGGGAATAAAACATTACCTTTTGTTGCCAATGTATTTACTGTATGATTAATTACAAGTAATGTTTTTTGGTTTATTATTAATAAATAACATGATATAGTATGCTAATGGTAATAATTTATTTGATTTGATATGATTTACTAACCAACAGATTCTCCAATTTTATGTAACGTATGTTCAAATTGCATCCCATTTTTTCCTTGACATAAATCACACATAACAATTACATCAGCAATATCCAATATAGTCTTATCAAATGGCAAAGGATGAATATTTAGCACTGTGGATGACGTTGAAACAACAGCCACCTTACATATGTACAAGTGTATATGTATTAATTAATTGATTAATAGTAAAAACAATTTTGTTATTACCAAAGAGTAAAAAATAAATACCTTTTCATATCCACAATCTAACAGCCAATTGGCACTACCTAATGAATGCCCAGAACTATAAGCGGTAACTTGTAATTCATGCAACATCTGATGAATAGTAATGTTAGAAAATAAATAAAGACCGAAAATATTCATTGCACACATCCCCCCAAAAAAAACACATGCGTATATAGTCATACCAAATGTTCATTAAATCTTATAGGTTGAATTTTGTCAATACAAGATTCAATATCTGATATTGTATATAAAGATCTGGCAGTATTCAAGTCTTTTGTGATACCAGTGAATATATTTGCTTTTCTATAAAAAATGAATAAATCTATGAATATAATAAAATCTAATATAAATCCAGGATAATATGATTATGGTTTACCCTGATTTTGTATTAACCTGACTTCTAATTGGCAAACTACTCTCACCAAAATAATGTACTAATTCAGTCATCATTTGCCTATATATAAATAAAAAAATCAAATTAATTCAAATCAAATAAAACACTCTTAAAAAAAAAATTCATATATAATAAAGAAAATGATGTGTGTCACACATCAATACATTAACCCATCAATAAATACTCACCTACCAAAAGAAACAGTAGGTTCTGCCACATAAATTTTTCCTTTAAAATCAGTATACTCGGTGATATAAGGTAATGCCAACATTTGTTTATGATTGGTGATCAAAATGAAACTTATTGATTTCCAATCAATTGATGAAAATTCTGGTAATTCGACCAGGAATTGAGCATGTGATCTGATGCCTTTACCAGCTAATAATTCTATTGGAGGATCAATTTTACGTCTTTTAGTTTCTCTTTCATCCGTTGATAACAATAGTGAAGATGTTGCTGTTGTTGAAGATGTAAGTATTGTGGTTGATTCTATAGTTATTATTCAATGAATAATAAAAGTATATATTAATATTATTTCAGTGATAATAACAACAATAATGATATTTTTATCATTACCAGTGGTAGTAATATTATCCGAAACTATAACCATGTCATTATTGGAAGGAAGATCAAATGAATCAAATGATTTTACATTACTACTAAGTTGTTGATCTATATTATTGGTAAGGCTGATTGTATCTCTAGGTGGAAACTTTATCAAGTATGAAATATCTAAACCACAATCTATTATGAAATTCATTTGTCTTAATTTTACCAAGAAACAATTTATTTGCGGATTTCTACTTAGAGGATGCTATATAAATAAATGAGTAAAAATGATTATAGTAATAAGAAGAAGAGGTTGTTCCAAAAAAAAACGAATATTTACCAACTTCATTTTTGATTTTTTGTAAATGTAGTTTTTGGTGATCGACACATTTTTTTCAGGTCATGCATGACTAAGGGATTGGTGGTGACAGCTACTATATATGGAAATGATTTTGTGTCAATGTGCACATTACAGTTCACAATAAATCATTGATGGTTTGGGTATAATCCTATTTTTTTTATTGATAACTAACATTCCTTATACCTTTTCCAATGCATATGTCGAAAGAATATTTCCACAACAAATCTGATGATAAAAAAAAAATCGAGAAACAGAATGCATGTAGATCTTTATGTATAACGGCCCTTCTGTTTTTGCTGAAAAAATCGTTATAGAGAAAGATCGTCATAGACAGAATATAAGATATATGAAATAATTTTACATTTAATGGGACCAAATTCTCGGTCCGTTATATATAGAGGGAGTGAACTGTATAATAATAATAGTCTGCAAAAACAGAAGGGCCGTTATAGAGAGTGTGAACTATAGAAATTATTATGAGATAGCTTTTAATTGTAATTAACAGTTTAATTAGTATTAGTGATCGATGGGGTGCATCTATAAACCTAATAATGATAATTAATGATGTAATTAATATTTTTAAAAAACACGCTTCGGAATTTTTACGATAATCATGATAATAAGAATATAGTTGAAATAGTTGATTAAATGTAGTTTACAAATACCAACCATCAGCAGCAAAAGTTCTATATAGCTCGAAAACCGGATAATTATCATCCCATTATGTTGTGAAACTTTACACAATACGTAACCACATGTTCATCAAAGTTAATTCCATCCAACAACATGTTTCTTTTAATGAAAGAAATCTTTTGACACCAAAATCTCATAAATCTATTGACTAGAACTTGAGATAAGGCTGTGTAACAAGACAAAATTTTGGTCATTTTTACCTCCATAAGGGCTGTTTTTACCCCATTAAGGAGGTTACACATAATATATAAAAGTAAAAAGTAACACTATCAAACTAATCAATCTTTTTAAAGATAATAAAAAACTAGATGTATAGCTTTTAAAATGGATCCAGGGTGACAAATTTAGTTGATTTTTGTTGTGGGATGATAGTTCATTTATAATTACCCGGTGTCCTCTAATAACAACACCATCAAATTCAAAAGTTTTAAAATTAAAATTATGAAATATTTTATTAATTGAGTAAAGGTATTTAATTATTAACAAGTTAAACAACAGTTTCTTTGTCATCAATGCTGTCATCATTACTATTGTCATTATTTTGATTATCTTGATTAGTTGCATGATTTGAATTGTCAACAGGTGATTTTTTGTCATACTCTGATTTAAGAATCAAATCTTGCCTCAATCTATACAATTTAGTATATACAAATTGACCTGTGCCACACATTAAAGAAAATGTCAAAAATCCAGGAATTATTCCTTTTTGTCCACCTTTATATATATATATATATATATATATAATGATAGTTAATAAAAATTATTTTCATAAATAATGGATGCAATAATAAATTGTACACTCACGAGCTATCGAAGATAAAAGTCCACCTGTCACACCTCCGGCCATAGAACTACTAATTAATTCGTCAATGTCTCTCATTTTTGCATTACTTATCTCATAAATAGCATTTTTGTTTCTTTGAAATGATAAACATGATTCTCTGATGCCTTTAATATCAAAATTACAAAGTAATTAACCAAAGGATTTTTTCAAAATGACTTTGAATAGGTTTTTTACTCACTGAAAAATACAGTTCCAAAAATACCACAATTTAAACCGGTTGATAAAGAAGTACGAATAATAGATTGATTACCACGAATAAGTGCATAAAATCCGCCAGTTGTTGCACCTGCAAAAGCTACTTTCAGCAAACAAATGCAAATTAAATATAAAGAAATACATGAAATAAATGAATAAAAAATATTATTATTTCTTGCGATCAGAAACAACTATAAACAAACTTGATATTAATATTTCATATAAGATTTTTTTTGATATTTCAAGATCCATTTTGAACTTTGCATTGCTGAACTAATAAAAAATTTTTTTATAAAAAATCTAAATGATCCTTGTCCAAATTAAGAATTTGAACTTGATTCCCAATTGGATCGTCTTCAATTGAGAAATAGAAACAAACCATCTCCCAAAAAGGCGATTTTGAGTTAATATGACTCCTACCTGACTGCAACTCTTTATTATTATGTAGAACATCTGGCTTAGAAACATACCAGCTTTACACAGTAAAATTTCCCTTAAGTTTCAAGAACAATAACAAAACCCTTAAAAAAAATTCTTTTCGTTTCTAACCAAAAACCGCCAATTTATCTATTTAAATATTATTATTACAAAAATTTAGGATCTCATACAATCAATAACGAATGTTTGATTAACTGATTAATTAATTAATTAATATACATTCGGAAAAGGAATTATTTCAAAAAAGTGACATATGACTATTTAGCAAGGGTGTGAGTGAGTGATAGGGCCTAATCCCTTTATATTATATGTATAATAATATAAAATTATTTAATTAATATGAGTCAAAGGTGTGTGTGAATTGGCTAATTGTTTATTTACTTTTAAAAATAAACAAAGAAGTTAATAAGTTAGCTGACAAGAAAATAAACTGAAAATTTGTTGTTAAAAGAGTATTGAAATAAAGTTTTAACAATTGTAAACGGGTGACTAATTTTTTATTATTATTATTTTTATTATCGGGTGATTTATGGGATGATGTTAATCCTTTTTCCGAATTACTATAAAATAAACCTTTCAAAAATTATTTTAAAAAAAACTTTCTATCAATATGATTATAAATATCAATAATATATAAAAATGGAAAACTTTCAAGACAAGAAACGTAATCGAAGTATGGATGAATTATCGCATCAATATAATTATGATTATAATTTATTACACCAAAAACGTAGAAAGTATAATAACAATAATATAATTAATGAACATACAACTTTATCATCATCATCATCATCATTGCCGTCAACGTTAAAAGATTTGAAATTGATAAATGAAAAAAATAATAAAGCCGCATTTGTTGAAAATTTGATTGGTGAGTGAATAATTGTTTGAATTGTTTTATTATAACCAAATATATTTATACTTATACGTGCGTGCGTACATGCGTAAATTATCCAGATGCGACTCGTTTAATGTTAGAGGTGATTTGGCCTGGTTGTGACAATACAAAATCAAATTTATTATCTTTAAAAACCTTTTTGGAAGAAATTTTAAAAAGATCAAGAACTTCATGTTCAACCCTTCAAACTGCATTATTTTACTTATTTAGAATTAGGCCGAAGATTGAAATATTAAAAGAACAAATTTATAAAATATCTCCAACAGCGCCTATAACGGCGATACTTTGTTGCAGAAGAATGTTTTTAATTTCGTTGATAATTGCATCAAAATATCTTCAAGATCGTAATCACTCCAACAAAGCTTGGTCGAAAATAACTGGTCTAGCTGTCAAAGAAATTAACTCTTATGAAATATTTTTTCTGCGATTGATCAATTACAATTTATACGTCACCTATGACTCTTTTGAAAATTGGTGCGTTTTATTGTTAAGCAATATTCGATCGATATCAGGCGAAGGATTCATACAACATGACGGCTTCAAGAAGTTAGAAAATCAAGACAAAGTAAATTCATTCAGAGAGATTTTAAATTCATTAAATATAGAAAGTTTATAATTTTACGATTATTCATTGTTGTTGCAATTATTTATTTGCTCTAGAATTATTATTATTAATAATACGAATTATTTCTATTTTAATATAAATAAATAAATATTAATGTTAGGGTGTCCAAGATTATGCTTTTTTTTTTCATAATCTTCGGGCAAATTCATAATAATATTCAGAAAAATTAAAATACATGAAATTTAATTTTTCTTTTAAAGCTGTGCGTTTATCAGTTAATATACTGTTATAAATCGAAAAATATCTTTCAACATCAACACTGGACACAGAAAGTTTCACCAACAGTTATTTTATTTTTTATTAAATTTTTTAATTCCTGTACTTCAAATTCATAACTCATTGGCAAATATTTTTCTCGAAGTTGATTTGAACCTACAATAATATAATCTCTTAGGAAATAATAAAAATAAAAATAAATGACAATTTACATTAAAATATTCAAATTATTTTAATTTTTTTTTGATATGAAAATTTTCTTACCATTCTTACAATATGAATTAAAAAAAGACTTTAATTTATCTATTTTGTCCAGAGGAATATCAGTTTTAGTAAATGCTTCAATTATTGCAATATTGATTTTGTCATGATCATTATTAGTGAAAGAAAACAAAGAGCTTTGTAAAGGTTGTGGATTATTTTTATGTTTTTGTTCAGCAGCTTTTATGTTTCGTTGATTCTATATGGTTATCAACAATTGATTTTTTTTCATGATTTATAGTATGTGGTTATAAAAATGACTATTTTTTTCCCAGTTTCAACGTAAAAATGATTATTATAATGACTTTTTTTTTCCTCAAACGTTCTAGTGCATTTTTCATTCTATAATTGTAATAATATAATCATCGTCGATCCCTTACATAAAAGTAAATTATACACGTAGATTATGTGATTTATGCGATTATGCTCAAAAATTAAAAAGTGTGCAGCGATTTATGTGAAAGCATAATCCTAGACATCCTAATTAATGTTACGATAAGGAAAAATAGGATTCATTCCTATTTATAAATAATAAATAATAACAAATATTAATTGGAACACAAATTGACAAGAAAGTCTTGAAAGACGATGTTTTTATTTATTATAAACTAAATGTTATGAATATTAAATGTTGATAAAAATAAAAATAAAAAATAAAAAATAACATTGTTCATTTTCCAGCCCAATTAATTATTTACCAAGGATAGTTTCCTAAATTATAAAAAGTTTATATATTTTTTTCAAGTATAAATATAAGATAAATAAAAAATAAATAAATAAATACCTTCACGGCATCAATGGCTTTGGCGATCATTCCCTCGTCTTTTTTATCTTCTAATAATCCATTATGTGAATATGATTATTAATAAAAATAATAATGATAAGATCATAATGTCAAATAAAAATATTGATTAAACTGATTTTACCTGAAGTATCAATATTAGTAGTAGTAGTATTATTATTAATAGGCTGACTATTGGTAGGATCATTAATGACACCTACACCCTCAAGAGCCGTACTACCGTATTGTGGGACATGAGCAACATGTTCTCTTTCTTGCTCTTCAATTGAAGGATTTGAACCCACACCTCCTAGAGCTGTAGAACCATGAGTGGTCACATGAGCTATTGGATCTGGCGTTTTTTTGTGGGATTCTTTTTTATTGTTTTTATTAGTTTCTGAAGACATTTTTTATTTTTATTATTGAAATTAAAATAATTAAAATTACTTTTTATATATATTTGATTTTTATTATTTAAAATAATTAAAATTAATTTTATATATATTTGATTTTTATTATTGAAATTATTAAGCTTGAGAAGGAATTGAGCATTATATATATACACGCACGATAAATTGGTTTTAACCAATAATAGTGGTTATTTTTATTTGAGATGCAATAATGATGTAATTGGCGTCTACTATACTATATGAAGATTAAAATGATGTAATGAACATAACGTAAATCAATTTTAAGGATTTTTTTAAATAAACAAGGTGGATGCATCCAATTAAACAAACATTTGAAATACTCGTATTTCGCAGCAAATTGAAAAATGTGTGAACTTTCTTTACAATAAGTTGAGAAATCTTTTGACCAAGAGAGTCGGCGATAAAGCAGATGCATCGGAAGTAAACTAGTAGAAATGGAGAGTGCGTTATTTCTATTTTTACTTTAGCGCAAAAATTAAAACATTTTTTTTGCTTTTATATATATACACTCAATACCTTTTATCAAAGAAATTATAAAACGTAAATTCCCAGAAGAAGAAAATAAAGAAAAGGGACAATAAATATTTGAAGAAGTTTACAAATATTAAACATTTCTCTAAAGGGCTTTTTAAATTTTAACGATGATCAATAAAACTGATCTACTCGCGCGTTCAATTAATATCACTCTTTGATCAAAATGAAATCAGAAACTTAATGGTAAATATGGATTCATTCTAAAACACAACTTGGTAAATATGATTTCATTTGACATTGTTGAATAATAAAGTTATCAACTATGTTATTTCCAGATGTCCAAGTAGTGAAAAAACTCTGTGATTGTAAGCAACCTTCACAGAGCCTATCAGAGTATCTTGTCACTTTACACTTGTTACATTCTTTTGGTTTCCCCACTTATTCCTTGCATTTCTTAATTCAAAAATATAATAAAATCTTCTTTACAACCTTCTTTTTCATTTTCAGAAAGCTCCTTGTTTTTTTTTTGACTAATGAAAAAAATATCTTTTCTACTTTATTCATGAGAATTAACAAGAGCATTATTATTTAATTTTTGCAAATTTTACCAAGTATTATTTATTATATTTAAAAAATCATTAAATGTAAAATTTTCCTGTTAAAGAGATGGAAGATGTCCCAGAAGCTTATCCGGATTTCTCGAGTGAGAAACCCACTACAACACTAATTCGCTCACCTGTTTCTATAGAGATTATTGTTAATGAAATTAGAGCAAAGTTGAAATATTACAGAATTCGGGACTTCGTGTGTGCCATTATCAAGAAATAATGGTGATTTAGCTATACGTGGCTGGGATGTTATTACTGTTCAGGTCGAAAGTACCCATCGCCTTGCTCTTCAAGGGGTCGTTTTTATGTAATTATCTTAGACGAAGCGAATGCCATCATGCATCAAATGTCAAGCGGGATCCATGCACGAGAATCTGAAAACGCCATGCGAGGTTTGTTAAGTCAACTGTTCACGTTGTGGCTATGAATGCTTTTGCAAATGAATCGACTTTAGCCTTCTTAAGATAATATTGGGGTAAAAATATCCGAGTTTTTGATAACAAGTCACTGATTTCACTAATATAAGTTTTACAAGTTTGCTCTTCAGCAAAAGGACACGAAGATACATAAAATAAGAACTTTCTTTTCTTATCCATTATCGCCATCACTTAATCATAATTGAAACGACCAGCAGGCTCAATTATCCAAAACGAATAATTTATTTCTGCCCCAAATTTTTTTTACGCATTAAGGTAGTTTTTTTATATTATTAATAATTAAATGATAACAAGTTTATTATTATTAAAGGTATGTTTTTTCTTCTACAATATATATTTACATGTAGATATATGCATGTGGTGTGTTTATGCGTGTTTTGTATTATACATTTATATCATTAAAATTATTAATTAAGTGAAAAAATAAAAAGAAAAATAATTAAGATATTTACTAATCAAATAAAAACAGGATTTAATCTAATTAGGTTATAACAATATATATATATATATATATAGTATTTATTATTAATCATCGTTAAATAATTATGATGAATTGTTATAAGCTGCGTTATGAACCGCTTGTGCTCTACCAGATGGGTCTTCGGGACAGCCTATTTTTACAAAAAAAAAATTTTTAATTTTTTTCGTAAAAAACCATTCAAAAATAACCTCACAAAAAACAAATATATTTACCCCAATCAGATCTTGGAATCCATCTGTCAACACTTCGAGCACACACATCACCAGGAAACCACGTTTCAAATTGTTCTCTGTACCAATATGCTTCTTTTGTTGTTGGTGTGTCGATAGGCCATCTTTCTGCGGCTTTAGCAAATTCTTCATCACTAACATGATTTTCACTAGCTTCTTTCAATGAATCAATCCAACTATAACCTACACCATCAGAAAATTGTTCTTTTTGTCGCCAAAGAATTGAATCTGGGAGGTATGGTCGTGGGTCACCAGTTGTTGATACATCAAAAGCCTTACGAAGGATATACTAATATAAATAATAAAAATATAATTATCACCATCATCATCATCATAGTAAATCAAAATTAAAAAATAAACTAATTGATCAATCAACCGACTAATTTCATACCTTTTCCATTCTATTTTCTTTAAATAATTTTTCTTCTGGATCAATTGTCATTGCCACATCAAGAAAATCCTTATCTAAAAATGGTACACGAGCTTCAAGTCCCCATGCCATTGTGGATTTATTAGCACGAAGACAATCAGCTGTATGAAGATTTTTCACTCGTGTAACTGTCTCTTTATGAAATTCCTCAGAGTTAGGTGCAGCGTGAAAATATAAATACCCTAATAATAATAGGATTAAATAATAATATTATAAATTTAATTGACAATGTAAATATATAAATGTGCACATCAGAGTTGGCAATTGATAATCCGTTGACCAGTCCATTAAATCTATCGGCAACCATATTTAACAATTTATTAATGCTAATAGACCAAACCAAAATACACAAGCTTCAATGGACCTGATAGATTGCCAAACCTGGTGTACAAATAATTTATTTCATTTGATTTGTAATAAAATAAATTACCTCCAAGTATTTCATCACTTCCTTCACCACTTAATACCATTTTAACACCCATTGCTTTAATTTTTCTTGATAGTAAGTACATTGGTGTACTTGCTCTGATAGTTGTTACATCATAAGTTTCCAAATGATAAATTATATCATGTACCGCGTCTAATCCTTCTTGAATTGTAAAAGTGTATTCTTGATGATTTGTATCAAGAAACTCTGCAACTTTACGTGCAGCTATTAAATCAGGTGACTCGGGAAGCCCAATTGAAAATGAATATAATTTTTGAAAATTGATTGCTTCACCTTTTTTAAAAAAAAAAAATAATAATAAAGGAATATGTTTGTTAATTTTTTTAATTTATTTTTTTTTAAAAAAAAAAGAGAAGTAATATATCATATACAAACCCAAGTCGCCATCATTTCCATTAACTACCGCAGATAATTTAAGTGCTTCTCTTGATGCAATCGAAGCAATTAAACTAGAATCCAAGCCACCACTCAGTAATACACCATATGGTACATCACTCATCAATCTTTTTTTTACAGAATTTTCCAAAGTTGTTCTTAGTAAAGTATAATCGATCGGTTTTCTTGGTATAAGATTTCCATCCCACCAACTAGGAGTATAATATCTGGTAGTTTCACCAGTTTCTGAATCATATATATGACCAGGTGGAAATGGAATAATTTGATCGCAATCCTCATTCAACGCTTTTAATTCAGAAGCAAAGTAAACAGTTTCAGGTGAAGAAGATGACCACCCTTGATACAAAGTAGTAACACCGATTGGATCGCGTGCAGCAATGAATCGGTTCTTATTGACATCCAAAAGTACAAAAGAAAAAATTCCGTCCAATTTGTTAGCAACCTCTTTTCCTATTTCAGCATACTATTATTATTGTTTGATTAAAAAAAAGTTAATTCAAAATAAAAAAAAATTATTTATTTTAAAAATCGGGAGTGGAGAAAAAAATATATAATGTGTAAATATTTTTGAAATTACCAAATGAAGAATAACTTCACAATCTGATTGTGTCTTGAATTTAACATCTCCTCTGAGTGATTTTTCTAAGTTTTTATGATTATAAATTTCTCCATTAACCGAAAGAATTATTGATCCATCTTCATTTGTTAATGGTTGAGCACCACTCCCTATAAAAGATAATTAATTTACAATACAAGTTTTAATAATTTGAATTTTCATATTTATAATTATATATATACATATATATGATGAATTTCTTACCAACACCAACAATAGCTAAACGTTCATGACAAAGGATATGATTGCCAGTGATTATACATCCATTCCAATCAGGACCTCTATGTCTCAATCTAAACAATACAAACGTTAGAATTTAAAGGTGATTCATTCGATCAGGCAATTGAATGGTTTAAAAAGTGAAGAAAAGGAAAGGATCTTGCATACTTTTTTGAAAGTAATAAAGCTCGTCTACGAAAGGCCTGTGCATCACCTTGATAATTGAATACAGCAAAGATACCACACATGATTATCTAGAAAGGATTTTAGATTGAATGTGAATATTTAAGAAAACATCTATCATATATATCAACATTATAAAATAATCCTTACATAATTTTATTGGAAAAATATATTATTAAAAACTTTGGTTAATTATTTAGGAAATTAATTGAAGAAACTATATTATTATATCAGAATATGGCGACGATAAAAATTTTTTGAGCTTATATATTACTAGAAATGTTACACATAAGATATATAGATTGAATATCTCATATAATAAATGTAATACTAAACTTACAAGTCCGGGTAATAGCGATAATAATAATTGTCGTGTATTAGTATTTTAAGAGCGCCATTGATCAACGAGGACCCGAATTCCAAAAAATTTAAAGTTTCTTTTCTTTTCTCTTTCTCCACCAACGATTTCTTCTCATGCACTATGCGCTACGTCAAAACTTTATAAAATCAAATTAAAGATGCAAAAACTGGTTAAATTCCAACAACGGGCCTACTGACAGTGTTACGATATACAGAAATATAAAATTTTTGCATAAAATTTCCAAATTTGTACTAATTTTTCGACGCTGGTCCCAGTCCAAATCATAGGTAGTGTTGGATTTTAACTGATAAGATAAGATTGCTCTTTAAATTTATCAGATTTTTATTTGTTGTATGTAAATATGGAAGCTGATTATCAAAATAAAATGTTTCATTCATTCAAGATTGATATATACAATGTACTCTTTTGGTAAAAAAAATATTCCGTAATAAACTATTCTGTTTCGCGCGCCATGATAAGATTAGATTTAAAACATTACGTATTATGTGTGTTCATTGCTTGTATTATGACTGAAATGACAAATGACAAATGACAATTATTTATATTATATTATGTATACAATACATTTGTTTATTTTATTATTTTTTTTTTTGATATACATTTATTTTATGTTGTCCAAAATAGTTAAATTATATAAGTGTAAATCTAATAAATTAAGTTAAATTAAATCAAAATTCGCCTTTCCAATAAAGGAATAAATTATTTAACATATCTTCCTATAGCGGTAACAATTGATTCTTTATCTTTTTTATCATCAGAAAAGAAATAATAGGCTTCTGATGTTTTGAAATCAACTTTAAAAGAATTAAGTATCAAAACTTCAGATTGTGCATCTGTTACGCCGGCAATTTGTCCATCAAGCTCAAGTTTAGAGATCGGAAGTTTGTCATTCTCGTCACGGAAAAGATAGAGTGTTTTTCCGCGAAGTTCAAAGAAACGACGTTTCCAAAACTAAATGTTTTTAGATTATCCAACTATTATTATTAATTTACATACAAGATAAAAAAGACCAAGAAAGGAAAAACTTACATAAACTCCGCCACCTTGAACAGTAAGAAAACCATTTAACGCAACCTATAATAATGGGCATCACAAAAATAATTACAATAAAATTACAATAATATAATAAAAATAATAACATTCTTGTTATCATTAATTACCTTGCCACTTTTTTCTAAATCTGCAAATTTGGATCGAAGTTCTTCGTTCCGTTTTCGTTCAGCTTCTTCACGAGTTTTACGATCCATTTCAGCTTTAACTTTGGCTTCAGCTTCTGCAGCAGCGACAGCAGCAGTCTCTGCCGCCTTCATTTTTTTTTCTTGTTCTTCGACAGCTCTCTTGTTTTTTTCTTCTGACGTTTTTTTTTGAAATGCTTCCTTTGCAGCTTGTTCTGCTGCTTGTTTTTGAATGATCGCTTCGTTTGCTTTTTTATCCGCATCTTCTTGTGCAACTCCTGGATTTCTTTCAATGATTTCATCGCTGTCGTCATCATCATCATAATCATATATCTCATTATTATTGTTATTATCCGGTAATTTTGATGATTTTGGTGAGGTTGGTGATGGAATTTGATTCGAAGAATCAATAGAATTGATGATATTACTAATATTATTATTTAGAGTATTACCTCTTTTTGGTATTGAAGACGATTTATCGGGTTCGCCAAGTTTCAAACGATTACGTACATTTGCTTCTGAAAGATCGTTTGGTGTTGAAGCACTAATTTGTATTTGATGCGCCTGCTTGACGTTATTATAAACGTTTTGAAATACATGTAATTTTAGTAATGCATCACCAACAATTAATTAAAACCATTTAGAATGGTTTGATTCTTTTGATTAGGGTAAAAATCATTTATTCTTACCTTGAATAATGCACCAACTGCTCTACCATGAACTAAAGCACGGGCTATAAATATGGATCGACAAATCGATAGATGGATAGATAAAATGACAAATGATTAATTTTTATAGATTAATTAATCATTGCCATTATTATTTTATTTTAATAATTATTTTGATCTGTAATAATGATTTTTTACCTCTTCTTACACCACTGATTATGATTGTTTTTTTTGCTGAAGTTACGTGAAAATTTGGGTAAAGACTTTTAATAGGTGGTGTGACTGTTTTGGGCATAGCAGAAAATTTTTGTTATAAGCCATACATATTCAAAATCAGGAAAAGCAATTTTTGTGTCATATGAAATTAGAGGACAAGGAAAACTTCATCGCCAACACTATTACTATGATTCGAAAGGAAAAGATGACTGCGACACTATAATTCAATTTAGATCCAAATAGTGAAAAAATACGTCATAGATTTACTAACTACGGTGCAGATCATCTATAATCATTAATTGCTTATATATAGTAACAATTTGTCAACTTCAATACTAAAACAAAAAAAAATTATATCATTTTAAAAAATTTATTGTTCATGACTCAAGCTTCAAAACTTATCGAGCTGGTTTCTTCTTAAACTGAAAATTGGCTGAGCCTTAGCATTTTGAAAATTCCGAATTTTGTTATACACTTAAGAAATTGAGACTAAGTAAATTTCGTGTAACAACTTTTTTTTTTCATAGAATATTTTCTACAACATACATTTGACTTATTTGACTTATTTATTTCCTTTTTTTTTAATTAATATTAAATAAAAGTTCCTTACTATTTATTACAACAAAAAAGTTTAACAAACATATTACATTAAAAGAAAATAATTACCAAATTTGGTCGTGAGATTAAAATATTGTAACACGAAAATTATTGTTGCATAACTTTCGAATTTAAAAAAGAAAATTTGACAAATTTTTTTTTTTAGATTAATAGACTCCCTTTTTAAAGCTGAATTGAATGGCGGCGAGTTTTTTTAAAATCCAATCTGTGGATCACATACATAATATTTCAAAAATTTTAACTTTTGAGTATAGATGATCCGCACTGTAGTACCATATAGCTCATTTTTTGTTTTCCTAAACGGAAAAAATCCACCAATCAACTTTCGAGATTCGTGTCCTTTTACATATTTCCAATACCAAATGCTAAATTACAAAAATTTATTATTATTATTATTTTCACAATTACTTCTATTTTATCTAGATTCAGATACGGGTTTATTAAAGAATTAGTGAAGAACACCAACAACTATACAAATATCAATATGATTTTCAGTTAAAAATATATTGACGTGCCTTATGTGGTTAGAGTGAGCGTGTTTAGCCAAGAGATTTGCTGAGATTGTGACCAATTATCTCATTTCATTGATTTCATTTAAATTCAGTTGTCAATGATATCATAAATGAATGATAATGGTGTTGTATGAAACACGGAACAATTGAGCTTCGTAGAAACGATTTGATGATCTAATGCAAGATAAGAGAAAAGCTGTGGTGGCAAAGCTTATAATTTTTGATGTTTTATATGCTAAGAATGTTGTTGGGAAACAGTTATACAATTGTAAGCGTAAATTTGTTAGTACATTAATGCTAACTACAGTCAAACCTCGTCACAGCGGACTTCGCCACAACGGATTTTCTTGTTACAACGGATTTAAATATTGGTCCCTTTTTTTATAACGGATTTTTGATGGGGGTCTTTCTACATTAATATGGCTACTAGTCTCATCACAGCGGATTCACATGACATGTAAATTATGAAATTTATCCCCAAATTACCAAAATTGAAGGTCAGTATTAAAATAAAGCAATAAAGCCAACAATTTTATCCAAAGATTTATGAGTAACAAATTTTCTAAAATAAACCAATACAAACAATTGATATATTATTTGTCCAAATGTTTACGAGTAACAACTTTTTTTTCAAGTTTCTAAAATAAACCAATTAACAAACAATTGATAGATTATTTGTCCAAATTTTTGCGAGTAACAAAATACTAAAAATATATTAATAAACCAACAATTGATAGTTATTTATCCGAATGTGTGCAAGTAAAAAAGTTGCTAAATAAAACAATTGATAATAAAGTCAATTGAATTTAAAGCATTTAAATCATTGAAAAGAAAAATGGAAAAACTAATACAACAAAATAATTTATTTCTGACTTCATATTTAGATATTATTATTAAATTTTTTTTGCCGATCATCAATTTTGCCACAGCGGATTTCTTGTCACAACGAATTTTTTTAGCTGCTACCATCAATCCGCTGTGACGAGGCTTGACTGTATATCTTATTCTATGTTAAGCCACTGCAATTATGTAGATATTAGCAGTGGATTTAGTTGAATATTGACTAGCTAGTTGGAATTAGTAGATATTATATATTTAGTTTTTTGGTGATGAGACTTGAGTTAGTAAGTAATAAAACTTTTAGCTGGACACGCAGAAAGAGGGTTATTTTTTATTTGATATTTTGATTATATGGAATTATGAATTTATTAAGATTTCAAATCAACGAAATAGTCAATAAAATGTTGTTCATTCACTGCAATCTCTCTATACGGAGTCATTAACTAGCCTTGGCCAAGGACTTAATCATAAATTTTATCAGCTGTTTTTCTTGCTATGACTTTCTTCAAACATTTATGTTTTAAATACGACATTTAAGCACAAAGATTTTGGAAAATTATAAAAATGAATAACAAAGAAACCAACAAATTGGTTATTATATGAGTAAGTCAACATAGAGTATTCAGTGCGGAAATAAAGAAATTGCTAAATATCTTTATGAATATAAGAAAGACGGACATGATTATATTAAATGGGTGGCTTTTAATGAATTTGATAGTGTAGAATAAATATATTTGGCTAAAGGTGGATTTGGGGAAATCTACAATATAAAGCATTTTGGAAAAACGAATAATTCAAAAAATCAAATTTCTGAAAAATAAAATTTCTGATATCATCACGTTAATTAACCTGTTTATTACCCACCAGGGCTGGCAGCGTAAAGGGTTAAAAACCTAATTTAGTAACAATCATTTTGATTAAACTTGACTAAACTTGACTTAACATATTAATATGACTAAATAGTTTAGTCAGTTTAGCCAACGTGCTCATTTGAGTTACGCAGCCAGCCCTGATTACCACCACTATCAAATCACTTCAATTAAGATCACATTATGAATTTGCCCACTCTTTTATCGATCTATGTTTTGTTTGGGATAACGAAAGATCTAAACAAGATGATTATTTATTCATTTTTTGATTATGCGAAGCTTGGGAAATTGCATAGCTATTTGTTAAAAGGCTTTATAGAATTCACACGGAAAGATAAAATAAGATCTCTTTGTAGTACTTCATCTGTGTATGTTCTTATTAAATATAAATTAAACTATAAAATGAGTCATTTTATTAATAAAATTTATTTTTTTAATATAATAGATTAGTTAAAAAGTCATCACAATAATGGGAATATGGTATAATTACATATCTAGCATCTGAGGTTATTTATACAAAAAATCTTTTATGATGTGGCACATGATCATCTAATATTTGACATTCGGGGAGGAACGAGACCTGAAATTACCTGAATTCTATGCTGAATCGATGAAAAAATGTTGGGAAATCAGAGATATTTTTAGTAAATATTGTTTGTATAGATATCCGAAGAAAAGCAAAGAATAATTGGATTTAGCAGAAATCAAAAGAGACTCGAAATTATAATAAAAAATTTTTACCGGAAGCATCCTACACAAGTCGTCTACTAAGTCGATTGATCAAAAGTCTATTGCCACAACGTCTCGTCATCAATATGCTACTTTGTTTACAAAATATAGATGTGGAATTCAATTATGTAATATTTATGTGATTGGCATTTTGATTGATGCAACAAATAAAAATTGATCTTCATTTCTTTCACTTCCTTCAGGGTTTTTTTTTATTTTTTAATTAAATTTAAATTAAATTAATTAAATTAATTAAATAATTTAAAATATTAATTCTTGTTTGCTTTGAAATCATGTCGTGTAAATTTTGGATTTTTAATTTTGTAACAATAATAACTAAAAAACTTAATTAAGTAAATAATCAAATTAACCAATTATACAAACAAAAAAGAATTATTCCTTCTAATAATATTTTATTTATAATAATAAAACTTTTGGATTTATTTTTTTAAAGATTAGAAATATATAAATTTTACATTGTGTATAATAATAGAAACAACCATAATACAATAAAATAAAAATGTCTTGTGATCTAAGTGACCCCGCCATCACAGTAGCGTATGAAGAGATCATAAATGGTCAAGACACCGAATGGTTAGTTTCTTTGAAAGTTTTCTTCTAAATCTAAACACACGCATGTTTTTTTTTGTAAAAATAGCATTGATTTGATATTTTATTTGTTTTTAGGCTTATCCTTGGATATAACGATACAAGAGATAAGATTTCTTTATACTCAAAAGGTTCACATGGACTTGAGGGGCTTCGAAGTAATTTAAAAGATGAAGTATTATATGGATTTATAAGGATTGAAAATAAATTTGTTTTATTAACTTATGTTAGTGAACAAGTCAGGTATGATAGTAAATTTCAATCATTTTACTTTTTTATACAAGGGTAAAAATAATCATTTACTAATTATTTATCTTTTAAATAATATAACATAATCAGTGGTGTAAGAAGAGGTAAAAAATCATTATTACAGATCAAAATAATTATTAAAATAAAATAATAATGGC